GAATTGATGCATACTCAGATCCTATCAACTACGACTTCCTCTTCGATCTGGAGGAAACACAAAATGGATTGATTCCCAAGGGCACCAACGGTGGGCGCAGTTTTTGTGGACATTTTTTAAAAGGAACTTTCAAATACTTTTTCAGCAGAGTATTCAAATTGTTCAACGCGTCCATTAGTCGCCAATGAAACGCTGGCCAAGGGATGGAGCAAAGTAGTGTACCCACTGGATACGAATGCAGTTGTCAAGTTTCCAAATCTTGAGGGAAGAACGTACCACAATTGTTTTCATGCAAATTTTGGAAAAGAGGACTGGGTAAGTGAGATCTTTCAATTTTAAACAAGAATTGGTTTGAATTTTTGTTTCAAGGAAGTCCGCTGTCGTCTACAGTTGTTGCGTGGATTTATCAACGAAATCAAGATGCTCCTACGACTGCAAAACGACGCAAACGTCGTAAAAGTAAGCTAGCTTAGACTAGTGATGAATGCTGTTTCAGCGCAGAAAAGTGTTACTTTCGATATTAGGTCGGTCCGAAAGTTCTGTCGTTTCATTTTCAATAAATCGTAACTCTGCGCAATCTCAACGGGTTTGCTCGTGCTTAATTTTATCAGAAAGAATAATTCTTTCGCTTTCGAATAATCTCTTGCAGAGCTTTTGCTTCACATTTACTGCAGAGATAAAAATGGATAAAGAAGGCCATGTAAGCTTTGATCATTTTAAGTTAGGTCACAAAAAATCTAAAACATTGCGAAAAAATCTGAAATCGTCAGTACATAAGTTTTGCGGTCTACACTTTCTAACTGTGAAAAAATTGTGCTGTTTGGACGTTTTTGTAAAAAGTTATGTTTCGAGTTTGCTATGGGAAACGTCAAAATTAATTAGTCTGTCACTTTTTTCGAAATTCATAACTTCTTCCAGAGTTAACAAAAGAGCACAGACTTTTCACAGTTGCCAAGAGTAGGTCATAAAACGTATGCACTGTTGATTTCGGATTTTTTTGCAACATTCCAGATTTTTGGTAACCTAACTCAAAATGAT